TTTTTTTTTAGTAAATCCCTTTCTATATTTGGTAACAATTCAACTTTAGATTTTTCTTTTTATCATTTATCAGATGATTTCTAGCCCAAAAATTTTTATGATTTATTTAAGATTACAAGTTTTAAAAGTCTTCCTTTATTTCATAAAATTCATGTCTAGTCAAACACTTTTATATAAATTGGGATGGAGAGAGTATAATTTATGTAAGAAAAATAAATAATAAGTTAGATTATTAGATATAGTTGCGTTACCAACTAATGAATAGAGAAATATTTAAGTAAAAAAGTAAAATAAGATTGACAAAAAACTATTTTAGTTATATTGATTAGAGGAAGAAATCGAGTTATTAAAAATTAATATAACAATAAAGAAATAAATTTATCAATAATAAAAGATAATTATATTTTGTAAATGTTCGAGTTAATTTTGTTTGGAGTTGCAGTTTAATGGTTACAGTTTCGTCCTGTAATATTGAGATACATGATTCAAATCTGGCAGATAGTTTCACCTCTTCTTCCTTTCTCTCCTCCATTTAAAAAAAAGGGGTGGGGGGTGNTGACTTTTCTAGCAGTCACTGTCAATAATCACTAAATTAAACCAGCCAATAAAAATCCAACTGAGCCCCTTACCCCCTATCATCAACCTTAAAACTAGCTAGGAATAGCAACATTGTGTTGTAATAAGCAAATTTCCCATTCCTTTTTTCCTCATTTCCTCCCTTTCATATGGTCTGCACAAAATAAATAATCCTTCATTTTTTCTCAAAAACACATAGTAATGTCTAACGATTGCGGAAACAAAGAGCATGAACTTCAAAGCAAAGGGTTCATGCTCTTTGGTGTTAGAGTGATAGAAGGTGGAACTTGTTTTAGGAAAAGTGCTAGCATGAACAACCTTGTTCTATTTGAACAGCAACAACAAGATTCCAACGTCGCCGCCGGCTATGCTTCTGATGACGTTGTTCATCCTTCTGCTAGGAGCCGTGAACGTAAACGAGGTCTATATATATATATATATATATCATTTTACCAAGATTAATTATTTTCAAAGATATGTATGTATGTATAGATACTAGATTGTGCATCCATGATTTTAAAATTCTGAATCTGCCTATGTTATTAAAATCTTGGATTCATGTTTATCTCTTTGGATTAATTAAATGGATGGTGCTTATTATATAGGAGTTCCATGGACAGAGGAAGAGCACAAACTATTTTTATTAGGATTGCAGAAAGTAGGGAAAGGTGATTGGAGAGGAATTTCAAGAAACTTTGTCAAGACAAGGACCCCTACTCAGGTGGCCAGTCATGCTCAGAAGTACTTTCTCCGCCGAAATAACACGAATAACCGCCGACGCCGCCGCTCTAGTCTTTTTGACATCACCACTCATACTGTAAGCCTTGAGAATTCCTTCATCAATTTGTTACATTTTAATATGGTCTGAAGAATAAAAAAGCAATAGGTTCAACTGAACCAATTGTACGCGAAGTACTAAGTCGTTTATAGACATACAAGTTGTGGTTCTTGGATTCCAAAATTTTCTTCTTTCTTTTGCAGGTTCAAACTGTTGCTAAATTGGAAGATAAGCAAATGAATCAAAACACCATAGAAAAGTTTCCAATGTCAGCATTCGAGCAGGCAAAGTTATCTGGAAACTGTGAAAGCTCGACAAATAACTTAATGATAGGACTGAACAAATCCGTGAAGCCCATTAGGTCAATACCATTTCTCCCTGTCCCTCCCTCATCAAAAATGGAAAATCTCAATTTAAACAAGACATATGACCAAGAATCATCTCCTTTATCACTCAAGCTGTCCACATCGACGTCGTCATCGGACGAAAAATCGCCTCCGGCGAGACATTCATCGGGTTTCCAGGCAATGTCAAGTGGGTTCAATGGCAATACTAGTGGGGATAGCATAATTAGTGTGGCTTGAATAAGGATTGGATTTGATTCGTTTTCTTAATTAAAAATATCTGTGATGTAAAGTGGGGTTTAGCTAGATAAGATTAGACATTAATGGGGGTTAGACTATGAGAACATATTAATTAGGTGGTTGATAATGATTCCTTTTGTTATGTATAGATGGTGTCATTTTCAACAGTTATGAGGATTTCTTGTTTTGTATTATGTCTGGTTATTTTTGTGGTCGTAGGTGATTACAGCACCAACCAAGTAGCTACTATCCCTATCAATGTGACTCACGTGTTATTGTAATAAAGAGAAAATGTTATAAAATAATAAAAGAAAAGAGTATTGCATAGAAAAGTAGAGAGATAATATTTATTGATTTGAGATGATTTATAATGGAATAGAATTCCTCTATTAATAGGAAAAAAGTGACTTAGCCACAAAGTAACAAACCCTAAAATTTCTTTAAAATATAGACATTTACCTTAAATATAATTATATTTATAACACTCCCTCTTGAATGTCCATTCTATAGGTAATGTGACTCGTTAAAACCTTAACTAAAATAAAACTCAGTAGGAAAAAAATTCTAGTTAAGGAAAAAGAGTATACATGTTTAATAATACGCCTTCTGGTTGCCTCGTTAAGAACTTTGCTAGGAAAACCTAGTGAGACAAAACCTTGTAAGGGGAAAAAAGTACAACACGTATTAACTCTCCATGATGAGAGCATCAATTCACATCTTTAAGCCTTTGCATTCCAATCTTGTGCACCATCTTCAAAAGATCGTTGGTAGAGATTCGATAAACAAATCAGTCATATTCACTTGTATGAATATGTTGCACCGTGAAATTATCATTCTTGATAGATATATAATATCGTGGAATGACTTTTTCAATATCTCCATAGAGGCAAAAAATTTCCGCTATCACATTATCATGCTTATAGTTATAGCAATATACATATGTACATAAATTGCACTTAGGATATGGTACTTTAGAATCAAGAATTGTATATGCTTTAAGCGATTTGAATCCTTTAGGGATTGTCATATAAGTTCAGTCATATAAGCCATTTAAATAGACTTTAGATGCATATCAAGTTTTCATGTCATGCTAGACATCTAAGATAGATAAAAGTGATTGCACACACCATTGACTTTATACTTTCAAGTGTTTGAACTGCAAGTCCAAAACTATATGTCTTTCGTATGAAACAAATTCTATTCAAATTGTGTCTCTTTCATTTGGCCAATATTTTTGTGTCTTTATTCGACAGACTTAAGATCCCCATCTATACTTAGCATTATCATAGATATCGTCGACGAACATTTTATATCGATTCCAACAGTTTTTCATAAAGACATAACATAAAGATCTCTTCATTCATATTTTTAGGTACCTGAACCTTTCCTAAGATTTTATTAAGAATTATGTCATGTGATCTTCTAGATCACTCGCCTCTTTATTATGATCATTTTGATCATTTGCTCATCTTCTTTATCAAGAATTTTATTTGAAACCAATTTGTCTATATACTTTATGTGTACCATAGACTTTGTCCTTCTAGGACTTATTCTAATAGGAGCATTTGTAGTGAGAATATAGTTACTTTCTTTTGGTCAGCAAATGCGTCTGGCGTGCTTTGCAATATATTGCAGATAAATTATCTTTTTATGAACTTCAAGTTCATATTATCTTATTCGAGAATCTTGATGTACAAATGATAATTTATTCTATGTAATTTATTCTCAAATATTTATCATGTCTCCCCCTCATGTTAGATAAACTAACATGCTTTCTCAACTTTGAAAATCCACCTTTCTGTGTTGTGGTGTTAATCAAAATATACACCGCACATCAGTAATAATAAGAAGAAATTTTGGTTCCTCACTGTGAACCACTTGTGAGGGGAGAATGTAATATACTTCCCTATATAACGTATATCAAATTGATATAGATAACTTTGTTCTCTTAAGCAATAGTTTAGCAATAGCAACGAGATGAATTATTTTCCTTGTACATCACATCTACCAGAAGCATAAACTCTGAGCCTCCCCAAAATCTGCGCATGAATCGATAAGGCGAAATATAGCACACATTCATCAAATCCTTTGCTCGAATCACCCCTGATGTTTCCTTTTCTTAGCCATAAATAATCCACCAATGCACCGATAACCATAAGCTGCAAAACAAGATAACCACGCGATCCAATCGTAGATGGTGGGCTCCCCCACTTAGTTCTAAGCTACAATCACATAAACCTAGAACCCACAAATATTCCTCCTTCTCAATTACCATGATCTTGCACTGTCAACCCCTCAAATTTGTTGTAGTCTCTTGTTAAAATTTTCATGAACATTCCGAATTATCATCTACAATCGCTCATTCGACCTTATGTCGGGTAGTAAGTAGAACTCTTTGTAGAAATTTCATCAAAATCACACAACCGCTAACCTTTTCACAGGAGATAACCCGCCTGTGGAATTCCATGTCGACATCTTCTAACGACGCTGCACTGGGTGCAACTACCACACATTTTGTAGACCGTCATAAGCCCATGCTTGTCCACCAGCTGTACAAGTCTGTTTCTTCCCCTTTGACATCAACTGAAAGTTCAACAATACCTTCCAAACTCAAAGTCAGGTTACATCTGAAACGATAATCAAATCTTCACACCCCTCTTCATTTCGAGTAAACTCCTTTCTGCCATATTCAATCTTCCTCCGTACAATAACCACCATTCCAAATATAATCCGCGGACCTAGTCACTTTCCACCATTCCTCCCAAATCGCTCTAAACTTCCTCAAGGTACGTGGTTATCCTACCATTGAATCCATATGCTACTCTGCCACTCCCACTTCGGTCAAACCATCTTCTTTAAGCAACTTCTAGACCTCCTCTTTTCATACTTGACCTACTAGTAATTCAACCACCACGAGACACCTCCCGCCATGTCCTTCCTCATACTTCGCTTCCCAAATGTTGCTTCAAATCAAATCCATACCTGTATCACCCAAACTAATAAATTACTACCAACTCAAAGCCTCTTTGAAGATCATCTCTCTCCAAACATCAGCATTAGAAATACCAATTTGATTCTGAATCGCTACACACCGCTATCTCTGACAGCCGCTCCTCAGGCACCATTTCACTACACCCTGCCCCGAAGGCAAAATCGAAGAAGACCATAACACCGGCGAACCGTGATGTATTCAAACAAGGGAGACGACACCGCATCATAATGAAAATTTCCACCACACTCGAAGATATGAAGTCTTGTTACTCCATCAACCAAAACCTGAACATCCATCATCCGATTGCCTTTCCTTTGCTGGAATTAAATGCTGAACCTCTAAATCATGTATTGAGAAATCATCCTTCCGATCCATTCGCTACCGCGATCCATACATAAGCACTCTACCATTACACCAACACGGTGCGATAATAACTCATGAATAACATAGCAATCAGTGCATAGCCTCAAAACCATAGGACGCACAGACACTGAGCTGGGACAAATGAACATCCTTCCGCAAGGCGATGATAATAGCCTTCCTGAACACGCAGGGAAAAACATCTTGCACCATGTCTGTAGTGTCACTACCACTACTCGGCGTCCCATTGACAACAAGCGCTTCACGTTGTATACGATAGAGTAGGAAGGAAATAAAGGCACAAGCCTCAATGGAATCAAACCGCACGATGAGGAAATCAAGAAAGGAAGTGCTCCTAACAGCCCCTGTAGCCTCTCGAAGATAAGTACAGACGTCTCCGTACCGATCCGAAAGACTCTACTAGACTTGCTCATGACTCGTAAGACCTAAGTGAACCTAATGCTCTGATACCAAGATGTCACGACCCAGAATCCACTATAGGTCGAGATGGTGCCTAACACCGCCGTCAGGCAAGCCAACAGTGATTGATCAATTTAATTACCCATTCTAGCACTTCAAAATCATATATTTTATTAATTGGATAGTATGAAATAGAATTTTTAGAGTGAATGATAATATCTACCCGAACCACAATGATGAACAACCTGTAGGAACCCCCAAAACTAGGTGTCACAAGTGCATGAGCATCAACTAGGAAATATAATAAAATACAACATCTGTCTGGAATACAAATTAGACAGTAGAATATAAATAACACTGATGGAGACTCTGCAGGCTGCGGATCATAACATGAAATGTAGCTCACGATAAATTCCCCGCAGTAGCCGCGCCTCTGCGCCCAAAAGACCACCAGACATATATGTACCTGCACAAAAAGTGTAGCAAGTGTAACATGATTACGTAAATCAATGCATACCCTGTAAGTATTTATCCTAACCGCAGAGAAGTAGTGACGAGGGGTCGACATCAATACTTACTAGCGGTCTAATAAGACAAATACAATAGAAGTAAACATGTGTGAGTAAGAGTAAATAAGCGAAATAACAAGTATAATACATGGTACAATCCTCCTCTCAGCAATAACTCAAACTCTCAGCTAGTAGCTACCTCCTCTATCGGAGTATATATATAATGGAGCTTACCAGATAGGTCATCACAGTACAATCAGGAAAAGCTCACAGATATGCTGGCTTCTTGCCAATTATTACGCACAGCTTCATAAGAGTATTTTATAGAAATGTCGAGGCATATGGCCCGATCAATCATAACATTGCCGAACCATAGTACATCTATTTTATTACCGAGGCGAACGACCCGCTCCCATGAGAGTGTGGTACATAATCCTACTGAGGCGTACATCCCGATCCATCATAATGTGCGCACTACCGAGGGTCGAACGGCACGAACCATAGATGTATCTATCCTGCCAAGGCGAATGGCCCGATCCCATTAGGATAAGAAGCTTTGACGGGTCCTCAACCCCACTCATGAACAATAGTGTGAGTTATAGAGTTAGGGAATTTTTCGATAAGAACGCATATTGCAGGAGAATTTCGTAAGGAGAGTACAATTAATCTACGGCTTATTATGAAGCCCTTCAAATCTCTACAATAGCAAGTTTATCACTCTACGAAAGTTTAGTCTCAAGTCATAATGTAAAATAAAGGAATTTAATAGGCAAGAGACAACTCATACAGTACAGTTATAGCATGGCGGGAACCTAAGTCTACCCGGACATAACATGAAACTAGCTACGTACGGACTCTCGTCACCTTGCGTGTACGTAGACCCCGCAACAAGTAGCACATAACAAATGCATCA